TGGAGCAAGGCAGGAGGATGGGCAGAAGGAGAGCGGGATGGCAGAGGAGAAGCAAACAGAAGAGATGAAAAAAAAAGCTGTACTAAAAAGGAATCCATGTGCATAAGATCTTGGTTATGTTAAATTGTATCTTGATGCATAAAATATTAGATCTGTATCTTCCCATTGGTAGAAATGCCCACACTATATTGTCAAGTGAAAAAAGCAAGTGGCAGTGTAGTATGCTTCTATGTATAAGTGATACAAATTGGGATTTTGAGGCTCACAGTGCCTCAAAGGGGTTGGAAGGTTGGAGCGGCAATGGAGGAAGTCTTCTTGTCGTTTTGCTGGGGGACGTGTCTGGAGACAACATTGGTCCAGTTAACGCAAGGGCTGCCCTGGTGTGTGTGTAGGTTGGGGGAGGTGTGGGCGTGGTCACTGTAGACTTCTGGGTACAGCTCAGAGGCAGATGGGTAAATCCCACCATCTGAGTCATTCCTCCAGTCTGAACCTGTGGTTCCAAGCCTTTTTTTTCCCCCAAGGATGGAAGGTTCTGGAAGACTTTGTCTACTAAGCCATGTCATTTGTTAGGCAAAACCTTTCCCATCCTGGACAAAAGGTAGCAATACATATGAGGTGGCTTCAACACTCTCATATTTATACTGAGATACATTTGGCTGCAAATGTTATTTTAATGTCAAGCACAATCTGAGGAAGTACAAGTTTTCATATTGGTTTCAGAGAAGTACAGAGGATTTCCCATTTCTTGTGATACAGATTGAGTGTCCTTTATTTAAAATGTTTGGGACCAGAAATGTTTTAGATTTTGGATTTTTTTCAGATTTTGGAATATTTGCATTGTACTTACTGGTTAAGCATCCCTAATCTGAAAATCTGAAATCCCAAATCTGATATGCTTGGTCTCAATCGTCTCTCATGCTCATGCTTTGAGCATGTCATCAGCGCTCAAAATGTTTCAGACTTTGGAGCATTTCAGGTTTTGAATTTTTGGATTTTTGAATTTAGGGATACTCAAACTGTATCAGCAAATACGGGCATGTGTTGACTAACAACAGGGATATGTTTTGAGAAATGTGTTGTTAGGTGGTTTTGTTGAGTGAACATCATAGAGTGTCCTTACACAAACTTAGATAGTATAGCCTATTACACACCTAGGCTACAGACCTACACAGCATGTTACTGTACTGAATACTGCAGGCCAGGGGTCCTCAACCCCTGGGCCGCAGACTGGTACCAGCCCACGGCCTGTTAGGACTAGGCCACATAACAGGAGGTGAGTGGCAGGCAGGGGAGCGTTACTGCCTGAGCTCCGCCCCCTGTCAGATCAGCAGTACATTAGATTCTCATAGAAGCGTGAACCCTATTGTGAACTGCGCATGCAAGGGATCTAGGCTGTGGCTCCTTATGAGAATCTAACTAATGTCTGATGATCTGAAGTGGAGCAGTTTCATCCTGAAACCATCCATCCCCTCACCCCCCAAATCCACGGAAAAAATTGTCTTCCACGAAACTGGTCCCTGTTGCCAAAAAGGCTGGGGACTGCTGCAGTAGGCAATTGTAACACAATGGGAAGTATGTTTCTATTTAATTTTTTTTTTTAAAGACAGGGTCTTGCTTTGTCACCCAGGCAGGACTGTAGTGGCGGGATCTTGGCTCACTGCAGCCTCAACCTCCCAGACTCAGGTGATCCTCCCACCTCAGCCTCCCGAATAGCTGGGACCACAGGCATGCACCACCATGCCCAGATAATTTTTCAATTTTTTTGTAGAGATCAGTTGTTTTTTGCTTTTCCTCACATATCACAGACTTTTGTAAAATATTTTTAAAAACAAACTATGGAGTTAAAGATAACGTTGGGCATGGTTGCTCATGTCTGTAATCTCAGCACTTTGGGAGGCTGAAGTGGGCAGATCACTTGGGCTAAGGAGTTCAAGACCAGCCTGTGCAACATAGAGAAACCCTATCCCTACAAAAAAAAAAAAAAAAAGCCAGGCATGGTGGCATGTGCCTGTAGTCCCAGCTACCAGGGAGACTGAGGTGAGAGGATCACCAGAGCCCAGGTCAAGGCTGCAGTGAGCTGAGACTGTGCCACTGCACTCCAGCCTAGGCAATGGAGTAAGAACCTATCTCAAAAAAAAAAAAAAGCAAAAAATAAGCCCAGGTATTTTAGTATTACAGTCAGCACGCATAAAATGACTGTGAACTTGCTTAGAAACTTTTATGAAGTTGCTAAGACTCCATTTCTGAACATATCTTGTGGTAATCTTTAACAATCCCAGACCACACTTTGGAACACCAGTGTCATAAACAGGACATATCAGGATTTTGGTTTGACATTTAATCTGACAATCGTTTAACTAATGAGTTTGATTCATTGATAGTTATTGGTACATTTGGGCCTGTTTCTAGATCTCACATCTATATGTCCTCTTTCCAACACCATAGTGACTGGGCCTGCAATTACATTGTGATATTATGGATATTTCTTTTTTCTTTCCTGTGGTCCTGGCTAATTTCCAGTGATCAGGCTTAGCAAGATATTTATTGCTTACCTTCCCTTCAGTTATCTCCTACAGCACTTCCTAGGTTTGTTTCTCTTTAAGTATTTTACCACAAAATATTAAAATGTGGGCATTCAAGTGGCTAGACATAAAATTCTAAGTTCAAAGTTCTTTTCCTTCAGTTCTTAAAAAATGTTGCTGAAAAATCCGATGCTGATTGGATCAGAGCTCTTGAGGTTTTGATTCTGTTCATTCTCTCTGGAAGCTTTCAGAATGTTGTCTTTGTTCATCTTAAATTTTACTACCCAGTAATGAAAATGAAATGCACTACATTAAAGAGATGTATCAACATAAACGTATCTCATGAACAAAGCATGACAACACATATCTTATTCCTTTTACATCATGTTCAAAACCATGCAAAGCTTGATAGATTACTTGGGGGTACTGTTATGTGACAAAATTGTGAAGGAAAGGAAAGGATACATTGAAAATTTAGGGGTAGCAGCTCTTGATGAGAATGAAGATGCAGTAGGAGAAGGGTTCAGGGGGGCAGGGTGTCTGAAGCACTGTTAATATGCAGTGGTCGGAGCCGGGGGTGGAAACGTGGGTACTCCTTATTTTTTAAATACCTTACAAAATCTTTTGCGTGTACCTAACTTCAGGTAAAATAACCCCCTTGTGATGGACTCGCCAGCAGTGGTTCATAGGCCAGGATATTGGGAATGGTGGCGCTGGCTGCAGGTCTTGCAGGAGTGGCTGCAGTGGTCAGTCAGAGCTCAAGGGGCCAGAGAAGAACCACGGGTGGAGATGGGAATGGGGTAGTTCTAGGTTTGCCCTAAACCAGGGGTGTCCAATCTTTTGGCTTCCCTAGGCCACACTGGAATAACTGTCTTGGACCTCACATGAAATACACTAACATCAGCTGATGAGCCAAAAAAAAAGAAAAAAATCGGCCAGGCATGGTAGCTCACGCCTGTAATGCCAGCACCTTGGGAGGCTGAGGCGGGTGGATCACCTGAGCTCAAGAGTTTGAGACCAGCCTGACCAACATGGTGAAACCCCATCTCTACTAAATATAAAAAATTAGTCAGGTGTGGTGGTGCATGCCTGTAATCCCAGCTACTTGGGAGGCTGAGGCAGGAGAATCGCTTGAACCCGGGAGACAGAGGTTGCAGTGAGACAACATTGTGCCATTGCACTCCAGCCTGGGCAGCAAGAACAAAACTCCATCTCAAGGAAAAAAAAAAAAAAAAAGAATCGCAAAAAATCTCAGTGTTTTAAGAAAGTTTACAAATTCGTGTTGGGCAGCTTTCAAAGCCATCCTGGGCAGCATGTGGCCTGCGGCCTGTGGGTTGGACAAGCTTGCTGTAAGTGAAAAAACACATCTAATCACCTCTGGACCCATCATTATACCCCACCAGGGAGCGAGCCTGTGTATGGAATGGAGCTGCTCTCAGTCCCCCACAACTCAGCATTTCCTGACCTAGTCTGAATACTCAGCCTCAAAGTGAGCATGGCTGGTGAGACCCTCTCTTTGGTCACCACTCCCAAAATGTCTTCCACCTCCAGATGTGTTACTGTAATAACAGACTCAGAATTTCGCCCCCAAAGTCCAAAATGGGCGCACTCTCTTTTTGAGGTCTCTGAGACTTTACTTCCTCCTTCCACATCCTCGCAAGAGTCCTGCCCACATCTCTGGTTCTCTGGGAACGAGGACTGATTGTCCCTTTCCTGTAGCTTTCATTGATCAGTCTGCCAGGCACCTGACAATGATAACGCTCATGAACTTGTTGAATTGAATTTCTTATCAGTTGATTTCCTCCCCTAGGTGATGACTTTTAATTAATTACCATCGGCTTTCTGTACCTGAGGCTTCCGTATCCTTGGATTCAACCGAGGATTGAAAATAAAAAGCAATAAAAAATAACACAATAAAAATGTAAATATAGAAACAATACAGTGTAACAACTATTACATAGCCTCTATATTGTATTTGATATTATAAGTCATCTAGAGATGATTTAAAGAATACAGGAAGATATGCATAGGTTATATCCAAACACCATACCATTTTATTTTTTTGAGACAGTCTCACTCTGTCATCCAGCCTGGGGTACAGTGGTACGATCACGGCTCACTGCAGCCTCGAGCTCCTGGGCTCAAGCAATCCTCCCACCTCAGCCTCCCAAGTAGCTGGGACCACAAGTGTGCACCACCATGTGTGCCTAAGCATTTTGAGAGACAGGGGGGTCTCACTATGTTGCCAAGGCTGGTCCCGAACTCCTGGGCTCAAGCGATTCTCCCGCCTTGGCCTTTCAAAGTGCTGAGATTACAGGGGTGAGCCGCCGTGCCTGACTTACTATGCCATTTTATATCAGGGATTTGAGTAGCCTCGGATTTTGGTATCTGAGGAAGTCCCAGAACCAATCCCCTATAGATTCTGAGGGACGACTCTTTTCTTGAGTAGCCCAAGGAGGAGGCACGTGGAGAGCAAAACTGTGTCCAGGAGAGCTTTTATTTGTACGGAACAGTTTTAAAAATACAGAATAAAATAGCTTTATCTCTACTATTATTCACAACATCTGGTCCAAATATTACATATTTTTAAAATACTTAAACGTTTAATGAAGCCATGTTAGAAAAACAATATGAAAATTCTTTTTAAAAACTCCATAAAAGAATTACACATCTCAAAAAACAACCCCACCCCCAATACCCTCGATAGGCAAAATAAAAATAAAAAAAACCAAAACCCCAGAAAGGTATACATAGCCAAAGTCAGTCACAAAAACTCAAGGAAAATATAGGCATCCCCACTGTTTTAAGAACAGTCAGAAATGTATTAAGGTGTCAAATGAAGACTGTTACTAACGAACAGAAAAGGAGAGTCATTTGAACTGTCGGTAAGATGGCAACATGGGGAAGGGTGTCCTAACTGCCTGGAAACACGCACAGCAATGCTAAGGACCTGGGAGGGTAGAGTGACGCTGAAACACAGTCAACACCAACCAGAAAGGATGGGAATGTCTGTGAGGCTGCTGAAAAGAGACCCCAACGCTGGCACAATCAGGTGGCCCTTCTTGCACTACTCAGGTTCTGACTGCAGGAGGGGCAGAGGGTGGTCGATGTCCTAGTCCCTGTGTCTAAAAAAGGACTGAGGGGACAGAGTACAACAGGCAGCACGTAAGTCCCTGGGCTCTTTTCTAAAGCCAAGGGGAGGCTCCCTGGAGAAGCGAGCTTTGTGAATGCTCAGGCCCGGAGCCGCACACGAACGCGGCGTGCAGCAGGTGTGGCTGGGCGTGCACAGCTGGCGTCCAGCGACAGCCATGCCAGGCCTGTGCCTGTAGCGAGTGTACACCCCATGCATGGCCACCCCCAGGATGCTACTTCTTCTCTGGCCAGATGGGTTCTGGAATGAGGCTTCTGCTGTCGCTCCATATTCACCTTCAATCTGGCCTGGCCGTTCCCATGGCATCCGTATTACTGAAGATGAGACTTGCCAACTTTAAGTTGCTAGTACCAGTATTTCAGCAGGGACATGAATGAAAGAAATAACAACTTAGCTCATGGTCATAAAATATACGTATGGGAAATAAAGTATACACACATACTAGAGATTCATCAATGGAGAAATTCTATCATCACATGACATTGTCATGAAAATTATATCATTCCCTCCCTGGAAAACTGTGACTATTATCCTGGGTAGAAATGTTATTTTGCTATATGGAAATACTGCAATATTCATGCATAAACCAAGTTGTCATCATGAAAGTCAGTATTCTACAGTATAAAGCAAAACCTGTGTGTGAATTTGTTACCATGAAAACGGGAAACCATCAGGACCTATGATGCTTCATTCTGGCTTGCCTTGATCAATCCCAAGAAACTAAAAGTTAGCATTTGAAATCCTCTTACAGATTCTGAAAGTAAATGTATCAGTGAATCTACATTTAACTCCCTAATGAGAATGAAAATTGCTTACAAAGACTAGAGTCACTTCTCATTATTCTGTGAAGCAGGGGTGGGGGTTCCCCATCCCCCACTGTGACTATGGCATCACCTCCTGTCCGTATTCACACTGTCTACGTTTCATGTTGGGATCACCCACACAAATGCTTTCTTTTAGGGACCAGGCAGGTGACCTGGGAAGGTGGTGAGGAGGTGATCTCTGTGGAAACTGGAGACTAACTGGCCTGCAAGAACATTCACGTCCAAAATATTTTAGAACACTCTACAGGCAAAACAAAGTACGGGGTGGCGGCTCAAAGCCCTAGCAATGCAGGCCAATGGTGTGAATGGGAAGTGTCATGACACAGACTGCGGATGGCCACCGTGTCCCCCGATATCTCCCCTTCAGGTGTGTGCTTAAACCCAAGAAGCAGATGCATACGTTCTTTTTCTTTCAATTACAAACTTTCATTCTGTAGCATATTTTCCAGCAGGAGAACCACTTCCTAAAATGGTGTGTGTGTGTGTGTGTGTGTGTGTGTGTGTGTGTGTGTGTGTGTGTGTGTTACGTGTTCGAGTTTATTAGTCATTAGGGGACTCCAATCACTCAAGGCTGTGCACAAAGTACCAGATTCAACAAGAGTATCCAGTCAGGCTGCCCTCTTTGCTCCCTACCTCCTATCCCCTTAACCCTCCTCGGACAGAATATCGGGTTGGCCCCAGTGGAATAAGAAGAACAGGAAACTCTCATTCCAACAGGAGTTGAAAGTGTAGGGCTTCCTTCCCCGTGTGAAGGCCCACAGAGGGCACCCCACACATTAGCGGAGTTGAAGCCTCCTGATAAAACCCGGCCCAAGGAGAGGCTTCAGAAGGGAGTGGGTTTCTGGATGGCTAGAGCACACACCTTGAGTGTTATACAGTGGAAGACGCCCAGTCAAGCCGAAGAGAAGGTGCCCCTGGATCACCAATGGCTTTCAGGCTTTTATTTGGATATTTGGTCTTTCTGCTCACCTGGAGAGCTAGAAGATTGCAAATCTCTGGGATGTTTAGCAGTTTACCCCATTTTTCAGAGCAGAGAAACTGGAGATGTTGAGCAAAATCCAAACAGAAGGAACTGAGAGCAACTCAGTGCAGGAGGGCTGCCAGCCTCAAGGGCGTCCCAAGGAAAGAGGGATGGAAACCATGAGCCAGTGTGCTTCTAATGTATGCATCAAAGACACATTTAAAAAAACGTACAAAATTAGATGTAATTTAGCATCTAAGTTCTTTACTTAATCTGCAGCAAGGTTTTGGCAAAATAATGCAGTGGCTCCAAGGTGTTCTTGCCAGAATAAACCTTGAAGCCCCAAACTTCCAAGGGGGCTACAGTGACATGGCAATGCCGCGAAGACAGCGCCGCAGCACTGGAGAGCTGAGCCAGCCTGCGGCCGAGGGGGACAGGAACGCACTGTGTGGACACCAGGCTGCCAAGAACCATGCTCTGCTGCTGGAGACAGGAGACAGGCACCCACGCAGATGACGAAAACTCGACCAGGCCAACGGCCACTGAAGATGCGGCCACCTCATGAAGCGGAGGCACTGCTTCATATCTCAGGCTTTTTCCTTCTCTGAAAAACTTCAAACCAAACCAACAGGAGTCATTTCTCAGGAAGGATTTAGTGTTATTAATTAGAACTCTCTTAAGTGAGACGGAGCCTGTTGGCTGCTTTTATCATCACCTTTGGCCACCACCCTCACCTGTAAAATCAAGATCTAATGGACGTGCAACATGGCAACCCACAGGAAGTCTCCTTAAGCCACGATTGCCAAAAGCGACTTTCAACAGAAGCCCTGGAAAGTGGGACCAGCTGGCCGACAGACCGTTCCACGTGGCGGCTCTGCATGTTACCTGCCCCAGCTTCCCTTCTTCACAAAACAAATTCACGTGTAACTTGACCCATGGTTTCTGGGCTCTGGTCCAGTAGTCAGTTTTGATAAATAGATTAGGCATTACAGTATTTACACTTTCATGGTATCAAGCAATACAAAACACAACCACAACAATGGTTACTGGCCTTCAAAAGCCGTTACAACAAGCTTCCCTGATGGCATCCACAGCTTTACAAATGCTGGTTCTTTTCTTGATGGAGGGAAGAGTGGGGTGGGGGACAAGGAATAGAGATGCAAGGAAAAAGGGTCACATGGAAAACACTGATTTCCAAAATCTGCTATAGTCAATAACATTAAATAGGAATAAAACCTTGTAATTATAGACGCGCGCGACAATAACATCCACATGACGGCAGAGCCAAGACGCCCATCAGCTTGTGTGACTGGTGCCTTGGGTGGCACTCTACACTCATCACACCGGCCAATAGTGATAAATGCCAGAGAGGGTGTCTCGGCCACTGGTGAAGTGAAAAGAGGCCAGTGTGCACATGCTGGCCTGGTCAGGGCCAGGGTGGCCAAGAGAAGGCGCAGCCGAGAATCAGATATTGGCTTCAGGGTCCTTTCCTTTTCCCTCCAATGCCCCAAACAGATGTTCATTCAACATCTGTGCAGGGCTTACCCATGGCCTGACCTGGGCACAGGGCAGCCACGCCACTGTTTTCAGGTCAGCAGCCTCCTCCTCCAGGAGATCAGCGACAACAGAATCATGCTGGGCCAGTCAGTCGTGACAGTGCAAGGATACTGGTGCCCCTTGGTCAGAGGAGGTCTCTGTGGGCACAGACGAGGGTCAAATGACAAGGAAGCAGGTCCAGGGGCTTCGGAGAGAGAGAGAGAAAGCCCTTGGACTGGACCCTGGAGGTGGCTTACAGGAAAGCCAGCCCCGGGCAGTGGAAGGGAACTGAAGCAAGGAATTGCTGCAGATTTTAAATGCCCACTCCCAAGGGAGGACTGGAACTTCAAATGTAGTGACCACGGCCAGCAATGGACACTCAAAGGGCAAGGGGTCAAGGGCTTAAATAAGGAGATAGGTGAGACACCGTATCAGGCACTATCACCCCCGCAGAAGAAAAGTGATTCGCAGTCTGTCTTAGCTCTGGGGCGCAGAATGTAAATGTAGATATACAAACATGTATTTTACTTCTTGTTACCCAGCAAGGAACTACAGATACATGCCTCACTGCGGCCGGGCCACAGGGCACAGCAAAGGCTATCCCGTGGCCTGGGAGTCTTCGTCTGAACTCCGGCTGTTGTCGCTCTTCCTGAGGCCTTTCCACGTGTAGCCCACGAAGGTTGGACTGATGGGTAAGTAGCTGAAGCATCTGTATTTTTTTATAATGTTCATGCCAAATGGCAAATTGTACGACTCCATGCCGTCCAGTGATTTGTTCCCTTTGCCCACGCCCTTCTTCCATTTCCGGATTCCTCTTTCCTCTGGAGTACCTGTCACACACATCAAAAGAGAAAACAAAGGAATGCTTCGTTTAGCAGCTCTACTGAAAATGAAACTGTCGTTTCACACACACACACACACACACACACACGGTCCTACAGATCAAACCTGCCCAGGTGACAGCAAAGAACACCTGCGGAGTTCAAGGTGCTCAGCTATCCAGTGCCCAAACCAGAAGTCTAAGAAGCACTAACCCCTCCATGTCCCTCATTCAAGCAATCACCTAATGGTCTTTCGACCTCCCTGTTCTTCTGTGTGACCCATATTCTCAATTATCACTGTTAGGGTCCAGCCCAGGCCATGTTATTGCTTTCCTGGTTCATTCTATTGGTCTCCCAACTGGTTACCTAGTCTTCCGGCTCAGCACCTCCTGCCCTAAGTCTGTTCAAAAACTACCTCTCTAGGCCAGGTGTGGTGGCTCACACCTGTAATCCAAGCACTTTGGGACGCTGAGGTGAGAGGATCACATGAGGCCAGGAGTTTGGACCAGCCTAGCCAACATGGTGAAACCCCGTCCCTACTCAAAATACAAAAATTAGCTAGGCGTGGTGGTGCACGCCTGTAATCTTAACTACTCAGTAGGAGGCTGAGACAGGAGAATCGCTTGAACCTGAGAGGCAGAGATGCAGTGAGCTGAGATCATGCCATTGCACTCTAGCCTGGACAACAGAGCAAGACTCTGTCTTAAAAACAAAACAAAACAAACAACAACAACAAAACACACAAAAAAACTCTCTAAAATGTAAATCTGAGTTAAAAAAAAAACCCTCTTTAAAATGCAAATCTGAGTTTGCAAAACAGGGCTAAGTCTTTATTGTATCACACTATGCCTTCATCAACCAGTCACTGCACACTCACACCCCATCCAGACAGACCCACATTTCATGCTGCTTTGCTCCATTTTAGTGTGTCTGGTGCTGTGGGGGACACACAGGTCATGTATCTGTCGTGCTTCCATGGGGATGAATATCCACCAGCTGGACACTCCTGGCCACTCTGCACCCTGACAGATGGGTCAGGGAGAAAGCTCTGAGCACACAGGGCTCAGCAAGGAAGCTCATGATTTTTTTTTATCTCTAAGCTCTGCTCTCTCATTAGTATTTCAGAAATAAAGCTGACTTTAATTTCCATCAGCCTGACTGTTGCGCCCCTCTCTCAATTCCCTCTGGCTTAGGAGAGAAAGAGGGTAGTCGTTATGGACTCTCTTAAATCCAGTGCCTTCCATCTATTCATGTGTGTGATTCCTTCTGCCTTGGTTTCCCCAGCAATCTCTTGATTGAGGTTATTTTTTGAAGATTTTTATTTTTATTTGTTGTTTCAAGGGGAAAATGTCAACAAAACCTTCAAGCCTAAGAATAAGTATCACCCTTCCTTGAAGGCAGGGAAATCTGCCAGTATGTCCATGGCAGCACTTTACAGTGGTCCACAGCAGCCACCTCCAAGGCAGGACCCACATAACATCCTCGTCTGTCACCCCAAGCTCAGCACAGATGTATCCATAAACAGGGATCATGGGTACTGGAGAGGCAGCTGCTTCTAGGCATCTCTTGTCAATGATCTTAGACCCCTGATCTCAGCCTTTGCCCCTGGTCTTCTACTGCCTTTTGGTTTTAGTTGGTTGGAAGCCCACCTTAGTAACAACTCATTTAAAGGACAGTCTCCCCAGGTAGAAGTGCTGCAGGCTGTGCCCACCTCTCTCAGATCAGACGAAAGCCACACTGCAGGGCCTCTGGCACAGGCTGTGCAGGGGGGCAGGAACCTGGCCTGTGCCCATCCCACTGCCATCTCACCACACGCAGCAAACTCACCTGCTGTCTCCCAAAAGTCCTTCAGGAGAAACAAAATTAATCAGTTTATTTAGCAAAAAACTGATCCATACGCAGAGGCTGGGAGTGCCATCGCAACGGTTTTAGAAAACAGTTATAATTAGTGATGGCTTTGAACTCACTGACTCTTCCCGTTTTCCATTTCTATTTGGCAAAAAAGTAACATATATGTTTAAAAAAAAAAAAAGTGTGTTTGATATATACCACATACCTGGGATGGTGTTATCCAGGATAAAAGCCACACAGCCCCCTACAAACATAGCAGTTGTGAGAAGGACGTTCAAGACTTGATCGATTCCTGTTATCCCTACAAAGAGAACATAGCCATAGAGGTCAGTGCCATGGCAGCGGTGAGCCTGCCCTTGACTTGGGAAGGAGCAATGGTGTGGGAAGAACTCTTGCCAATCAAAGCAGTACAGGAAAGTGTAAATTTCTTAGTTGTGCACGTGTAGATGAATTTTTGCTGGTAATGTTTTAAACTACGATGAACACTTTCAACAATAATCCAAAGGTATCTCCATAAGAAGAATTCCCAACAGTGGTGCATAGAAGGTGAATCTAAGAGTGGCGTTCACCCTACAACGAACTGTGAAGCCACAGGGGTGTAGTTGGTGGATTAAAAAAAATTCAAAATAAAAAGAAAATGGTAGTCATAAGGCTGAGAAAAAAATTACAAAGTGAATAATAAGACGACAAAAATATTTCTGGTACATACAATCATACAAGACTTTTCAGTATCCTGGGTTACCAGTTAGTGCTCAGCTGCTTTTAATCAGGAGCAACTGGATTTATAAAGATGTCCTCCCATGAATATGATTTTTTTTCCTTTTTTTTTTTTGAGATGGAGTCTCGCTCTGTCGCCCAGGCTGGAGTGCAGTGGCGTAGTCTCGGCTCACTGCAAGCTCCGCCTCCCGGGTTCACGCCATTCTCCTGCCTCAGCCTCCCCAGTAGCTGCAACTACAAGTGCCTGCCACCATGCCCAGCTAAATTTTTTTGTATTTTTAGTAGAGACGGGGTTTCACCATGTTAGCCAGGATGGTCTCGATCTCCTGACCTTGTGATCTGCCCACCTTGGCCTCCCAAAGTGCTGGGATTACAGGCATAAGCCACCATGCCTGGCCCCAAGTATGACATATTAAATGTAAAAAGCAGCAAGAATCTCGTTTATCCACACAGTTTCCATACTGAAGACAGAATGATCCTCAACAGAAAATCATAGGCACTGGTGAGGATGTGGAGAAACAGGAACCCTCCTACATGGCTAATGGGAGAGTAAAATGGTGCGGCCACCATGAAAATGTTTGGCGGTTCCTCAAAAGGTTAAAAATAGGATTACCACATGACCCAACAATTATTCCACTCTTAGGTATATACCCAGGAGAAATGAAAACAAATACTCAGATATGGCCCACACTGATTATTCGTGAATTACGTGTTTGTGAAATTGCCTATACACTAAAATTTATTTGTAAACCCAAAATGAATACCCTTGGTGCCTTCATGGGTATACAGAGCCGTGAAAAATCTGAGCCACACCACACACATTCCTGGCTGACGTCAAACAAGGCGACGCTCTGCCTTGTTCTGGTCTCATCCCGTAAACAAGAGTCCTTTTTGCGGACTATGTAGTGCCATGTCTGTCATACCGTGTGCTTTCCATTGGTGATCTCACTGTTTAAAATGTCCACCAAGTGGTGTGAAGTGCTCCCTGATGTTCCTATACATTAGGTGGCTGTGGTGTATGTTACAGAAGATCCATCCAGACAGGAGCTGTGGCATTGCTGGCTGTGTTTCCCCAGCAATGGTTCAACATTTGCTAATACTGCCTGTGGCAACTCTATGGAACATAACTTCATGAATAATGAGAACTGACTGTACTTGGACATCAATATTCACAATAGCCAAAGGCCAGAAACAACCCAAATGTCCATCAGTGGGTGAATGGATAAACAAATTATGGTATATACACACGGTAGAATATTATCTAGTCATAAAAAAGGAATGAGGCCAGGCACAGTGGCTCATGTCTGTAATCCCAACACTTTGGGAGGCCGAGGCAGGTGGATCACTTGAGGTCAGGAGCTCGAGACTAGCCTGGCCAACATGGTGAAACCCCATCTATACTAAAAATACAAAAATTGGCTGGGTGTGGTGGTGGGTGCCTATTATCCCAGCTGCTTGGGAGGCTGAGGCATGAGAATCACTTGAACCCAGGAGGTGGAGGTTGCAGTGAGCTGAGATCACGCCCAGGCCTGCACTCCAGCCTGAGCAACAAAGTGAGACTCCATCTCAAAAAAACGAATGAAGTACTGCTACATGCTACATGGATGAATCTTGAAAACATGCTAAGTGAAGGAAGCCAGACACAAAAAGCCACATATTATGACTATACCTAGAATAGACTGTGAATCCATAGAAACAGAAAGCATACTGGTGGCTGCCAGGGGATGGGAGCAGGGGGTGACAGGGATTTACTGCTTAATGAGCTCGAGGTTTTATTTTGGGGTGATGAAGTGTTTTGGAAACTGGACAGAGGTGATGGCTGCACAACACTGTACTAGATGCCACCGAACTGCTTGAAGTGGTTAATTTTGTTATGTGAATTTCACCCACAAAAAACATCTGTATAAACAAACGCTCCTCAATTCTGCACTGGCTAAGATATTACCAGTAGCAATGGCTGTGTCTTGAGATGGTTCCTCCTTTCTACATTCTTCATGACATTGCAGTATTAAAACAAAAGGAGGAGTTAAAAAGGTTAATCTTGAATGCACAAGCCACGTGATTTTGCTCTGAGGATTTAATAGGATGGATATAAAACTGTAGAATAATGTGTTCAAAGTCTATGAAGTTGAGTTTCAAAAAAAATATCTTAATGGAGCATTAGTCTATTAAGATAGACTAATGAAATCAAAAGGATTTAGAGAGAGGCATTCTCTCAAAGGAGAGGGTCCCAGTGAAAAAGAGACCTCAGAATCCATGACTGTCACATGTACACGCCAGTAGGAAGCCCACAGGGCTTCCAGGTAACTGCTGAAAAGTGAGATTCAAGAGAGATCCACAGACGCGTCTGCACCACAGTTCCTGGAGGTCCAAAGTCCTCTCCAATGGGCAAAGAGCTGCGTGTGGACTGGTGGCTGTGGTTCCAGCTCCCACTCCAAGATGTAAAGCCCATTTCCTTACCTGTGACCAGAGGGTTCTGTCTTAGGTAACTTGGAAGGACGAGCCCAAAGAAGATCGAAAATCCAAGCACAAAGAGGTTCCGGGAAGAATTTAAATCAATGAACTGCAGGTTAGAGAGGCCAACAGCTGTGATCATTCCTGGAGAAAAACAAACCAGACCACAAGCTCTAGCACCACTGCAGCGCAGATAGCCCACTGCTCAGGGCAGGTGAGGGCAGGCTCCCTGGCGCCCCTTCTCTGTCCAGCAAAAACCAATGAGACCAGTGCAGGGACAGCAAGGGGGATGTGTGGGGTCAAGACTGTGGCCACCCCAGGCTCTGAGCAAAATGACCCTCAGCCTAAGCACTATTTAGGCTTATATAGGAGCATAAACACCACATGGCATTTTGTTTGCCAAATAGAAAACTAAGGACATTGGTTCCCTCTCTACACATACATTATGATTAAACAAGGAGACCTATCCAGATATCTGGTGCATGTCTCTGGTTATTACAGCGAAATGGCGCAGAGATCAAATCCAGAGTCCCACTGTAAAAATGGTCAGTTTTAAGTGGCCCATTCAGAGGGATGGTATTTGAGTTAAACTGGCCAGAAATACTAAAGAGATTAAATTTAATCTAAATGTTCGTAGCACAATTACATCTTACTGTTGGTTCCATCTTTAATATAAATTCAACTCAGAGAGTGATAACATTTTTCATTTTTTGAAGGCATATCCTTTGTATTTTAAAACAGAAATTTATCATTACCTTCTTACTGAAGGGGGTCAGCAAAAACACCATGATCCCTATTAAAAATTTGGAAAAGTAAAGCAAAAAGCCAGAGAGGGGAGTCTTACCAAAGAGCGTGCAGAACAGGGCTCCCAGCACAGGATCTGGAAGGGACGCAAAGAGGGCACTGAACTTCCCGATCATGCCCAGGGCGAGCATGAGGGCTGCTCCACACTGTATCACGCGGCGGCTGCCAACCTGCAGGACACACGGGAGACCGGGAAACAGAGACTGATCTCTATGCAAAATCACCAGGAGTTACTAAAGAACACAGACCGGAGATACCCATGGCCTGGCTCGCTACCTTCCCCTTCTCCTCAGCCCACTCTTCTCACCTCCACTATGGGGACCCTGAGGGTCGCCCTCTGCATCTCCACGCCTTGGTGACACTCCCTGCACTCAAGCCCCCGGGCTCTACTGCCCTGGCACAGTCATGGGTTGGGATGGCCCTCTGTGTCTCAAATGCAAAGGCCACAGTTTTCCCTGCCTATCCCCTGGGTTCCCGGCACCACACGTCACCAAGGCGACTTTCCCTGCTTCAGCCTCAATGCCAACTTCCCCACACCGGAAATCAGACCAAACCCCCAGACATGTCTGGAACCTCCTCTTCTCATGGCGCCCTTCCTGTGAGAGGCGGAAAAGAGAAGGGGCTACAGGTGAGGACATCTGGAGCCTGACTGCGGGCTCTTCTCCCAGCCCGCGTTTAACTGTATTGTCGGGCAGACCCATATCCTCTAGAGTCTCAGGATCTTCATCTCAGTCATGCACAAGCCTCGTGGTTTTGTTTTGAGGATTAAACAGGACCTTCATAAAACTGCCTGAATGGTAGCTGGCACGCAATGAGCCACCTGAGAGCCGCCCACATGGCCCTGCTGCCTCTGGCCTTTCCTGCACCCACTCCATGCTGCCCCGGGGTGACCTTTCTAACACATGGAATTGGGGAGGTTGGTCCCCTGCTTGCATCCTCTGGTACTCATGAAATAAAGCCCACTTCTGAGGCTCTTTCCAAGCAAGCCAGGCAGGCCTTGGCCTGTCTACCTGGACACCCTTCCCTGTGGCCCCCTCCTAGCCAGATCCCAGACGCATCCTTTTAAACATCACCCAAATTCTCCTCTGAAAAGCATCCTGACTCCAGGACTATTCTCCCATTACAGGCTCCCACAGCACCACGTAGAGCGTATCTGCTACTCCTGATCTCTGCCTCCCAGCAGCTTCTGTCTAGCCTGCTGTCACCTGGACAGTGGGAGGTGGCGCTGGCATCTGGCTCAAGAATCCTGCACTGTGGGCCCCTACTCTGTGCTGCCTCTTCCAGGAAAACATCCTGAGAATGTAAAACTGGGTAAAGCAGGTTCTAGAGAGTTGGGGAGAGTGTCCACAAGGATTTATGTATGACCCCAGTGAGGAGAAGGGGGTTGCTTATATTTTAATTAAATAAAATAAGATGAAATTTTAAATGCAATTCCTCACACACACTGGCCACATCTAAAGTGCCCACCAGGCACACGTGGCTGGTGCAGCTGTGTGTGACATGGTGACCACTGCACAGAACTCTCAAAGGACCAGGGTCAGCCGGTGAAGCTGATCAGAGCCTGATCTGAGGCTGTGCACATGAGAGACAGCCGCCCAGCTGGACTCGGTCACTGTCCCATTATCCCTAGCGTGTGCCTCCCCACACCGCAGAAGGCAGGGAAGCAATGGAAAAGATCACTCAAACTGACAAATCAAGCAAAAGTGACTCGTGCTTGCCTGTTACTATGTAATAAGGAAGGCTTTCATTTACTAACGGCCCCATCTTCAGCAAACATTTTTGAGGAACTATGTAATTATTTGATCAAGCTTGTGACTTGTTAGACTGGGGCAGGTGAATGCAAAGATGAGTAAGTCACAAGAGCTTGATCAAATAATCTCACTGCTGTGCTGTTCCTGCTGTTGGGGGAGCCCAGCAGCAGGGAAGAGAACATCTGAAGAGTAGGGGAGGGTTGTTGGAGATGGTCCTGAGGGGTGAGTAAGAGTTCGCTAGTGGAAGAGCATCCAGGCAGAGGAAAGAACCTATGCAAAGACTCCCGGCAGGGCCAGGCAGGCCTGTTAGGTATGAGGGGCCAAACCGGCCCCAGGGATACCTGAAACTAAATCTGACATGAAAGTGACATCTGGAAGACTGATCTGCCTTTGATGCTGTCAAAAATATATGCAGCAACTAAGCCATTCTTCTGTTTAGTGAATACTGACCAAGTACCTATTATGTTTTATTCTAACTACCAGAGATAGAGCCCTAAAATCCCAGCCCTCCCGGTGCTTCCCCAGGACCTTTGTGTCCCCTCTCACAGGGTCCATTCCCTGGAATCTCCTTGGCACGTCCCTCCTGAACTGTGGCTCTGCCTCTAGGACATTGGAAAAATAGATCCTGGGTTTCTGGTCTTCAGCGGTGGTGCAAAATGCAGCAAGGAGAAATGACCTTCCTCTGGACACCACCAAAGAGATGACAGTCAGCGAGATACTACTTGCTCTGTTCCTAGAAATAAACTAAGGGCTAAATAGCGATAATGAAAATTAATGATAATGATGGACTTTGCTGGTCCAGGTAGGGAGGCCCTCAGGTACCATCATTCCTTCATGCAATATAGATATTTATGAAGCACCCACTCTGCCAGACTACTGTTCTAGGCACTTGGGATACATCAGCTCATTAAAAAGTGCTGGCAAGGTAACTTGTCAGAGTAAGCTAGCACCCTTCAAATTTTAATAAAAAGAATGATTTCCCAAACTACCTTGGTGGTCACATTATATGATGATGTGTTTTAAAGGGGTGCAGAAAGAGGAGGCTTGTTAAACCATCTTCCCCTAAGAGTGCCTTCATCTACAACAATTTTACTCCCACAGTTGTCCCTAGGGATCCTTGAATTAGTTCCAGGACTGCCACTCTCCCCGCCTCAGATACCTACAACCACAGATGCTCAACTCCCTGATATAAAATGGTGTAGTATTTGCATGTAGTCTACATACATCCTCCCATATACTTTATTTTTTCATTTTTTATTTTTTTGAGTCAGAGTTTCACTCTGTCACCCTGGGTGGAGTGCAATGGCACAATCTCGGCTCACTGCAACCTCTCTCTATCTCCTGGGTTCAAGTGATTCTCCTGCCTCAGCTTCCCAAGTGGCTGGGCTTACAGGCACCAGGCACCATGCCTGGCTAATTTTTGTGTTTTAGTGGAGACAGGGGTTCTATATGTTGGCAGGCTGGTCTCGAACTCCTGACCTCAGGTGATCTGCCCACCTTGGTCTCCCAAAGTGCTGGGATTACAGGTGTGAGCCACCGTGCCCAGCCAACAGCCTCCCATATACTTTAAATCATCTCGACATTACTCACAATCCTTAATACAATGTAATTGTTCTGTAAATCGTTGTCAGACTGCATTGTTCAGAGAATAATGACAACAAAAAGTCTGTATATGCTCATGCAGAACAGTACAGAAACAAACAATATTAGTAAAGAAGCAATATTTTTGACTTGAAGTTGGTAGAACCCACAGATACAGAGGGTTGGCTATCTTATTTGGGATTAGTTATACACCTGCAAGCTCACGGCAGCAAACTGGCTAAAGAGTGGCATGGCTTAGGCCCCATTCTGTGCCCATGAGATCATTCCCTCATCTCCCTGTGCTCAGCACTGGCTTCTCACCATGGGCAGCAATAGGACTCCCAGGATGACGCTGGAGGAAGTGCCCCTTAGACAGCCTTTCCTCGCATCCCCCATACCAGGAGCAACAGGCAGATGGGGCCACTGACACACCTGAGGCTGAGCTCTGGCAGGGTCCTGCCAACTTGGGGAAACCAACAAACAAACCGGGCATGTGCGTGCATGCCCGGCCGCTCCCTGTCACCTGGATTTGCAATCAAGATTAATCAAACTTAGTATCTGATTCTCTTTATCTGATTATAGAATCTTACATGGCAAGGGAGAGTTCTTTCGAAATCCACTCCCTCCTCCCAGTTTGACAGAGGTCAACCAGTTCTAGAAGGTTTCTGGGCTCACCCCAAGTCCTCGATGAGGGAGACCTGCGAGACGGAGGCCATCGAGGACAGTGAACCAATTTTCATGGTCTCAGTTTCACAACGTACAATGGCCAATGGTGGGTCATCTCTTAATTTAAAACTAGTGACACCTCCCAGTTGAGATCCCATTTCTCCTTTTGCCCAGCCCCCCATGGTCTATTCTCATCACTGCAGTCAAAGCCATCCTTAAAAAAAAAAAAAAAAAAAAAAAAAAAAAAAAAGAGAGGAATAACAGCCTGACTTCAAGTTATACTTCAGATACTACAGAGCTATAGCTTGGAGGGAAGTCATGAGGAATATCCATTTTGTACTTTACATACCCATTTTGGACTTTACATGAATGAAAAAAAAAAAAAAAAATCAGACCAAGCTGCTCCCTGCAGCACCCTCTTCCACTTAGGCAGTCTGTGACTGCCTACCTACCTGCCTGCCTGTGTAACCTGGTCCTCAATTACCTGGCAGACCCCACCTGCTCTGACTCCCTGACCCGCACTGGCCTCCTTGCTGACCTTCTACTCCCAGGATAGAGCTCTGCCCTGGCCACACCCCGGCCTGGAAGGCTCTTCCCCAGGTTATCTGCAGGCTCCCTCCCTCCACTCTTCAGGTCTGTGTTCAGGTCACCTGATCACCCTATTTAACTCCTAATCCCCCTCTCCCCAAGCTTCCTGTCCCATGTTTCCCCCGGTGCTTGTCACTGGCTGACATACTGCATCATTTATGGACTTAGTATGCTGACTGTCGGTTGTCTGTCTTCCCTTGCTAGAATGTAAACTCCACTTTTTAATTCACTGATGTATCCCAAGTGCCTCGAACAGTGGCCTGGCAGAGTCGGTGCTTTATAAATATCTACACTGCGTAATAGAGTGACAGCATGGAGTGCCTCCCTACCTGGACCAGCAAGAGAGGAGAGACTTCCAAACAGGCATTATAAACACTTAAAAAAAAAAAAAAGGAGATGGAGAGAAATAATTTTTTAGAATCAGAGGCCCACTCATTTGGAACTTGCAGTGGCCAGACCGATGAATGAAATGGATGAATGTTTAGAAGCCCAATCATTTAATTAGAAAAATCTGTGTACCTTTGTAATTCCCAAAACTCCAATGTTGGGACTGGATGAAGTAGAGCCATTCCCAGTACCAAATATGCCATCAAGAACACAGGAGAGGCCTTCCACGAAAATTCCCCTAAAATGTAAAGAAATGGAGGAAAGAAAAACATTCATTCAATGGGATAATGCACTCATTCTGAAACAGCCTCTAAACATCTGCAATCCACAAATGTGGTCCAGAGCCTGCAGCTTCCACATCTCCTGGGAGGGGGATTAAAAATACAATCTCAGACCCCACCCCAGACCTGCTGAAGCAGAAAAGAATCTCCATTTTTTTTTTTTTTTTTAAAAGAGTATCTCTGTCACCTAGGCTGGAATGCAGTGACGCAACCTCGGCTCACTACAATCTCCACCTCCTGGGTTCAAGAGATTCTCCTGCCTCCCAAGTAGCTGGGATTACAGGTTTGCACCACCACGCCTGGCTAATTTTTGTATTTTTAGTAGAGACGGGGTTTCACCATGTTGGCCAGGCTGGTCTGGAATTCCTGACCTCAGGGTGATCCGCCTGCCTCAGCCTCCCAAAGTGTTGGGATTACAGGCGTGAGCCACCGCGCCCGGCCAGAATCTGCATTTTAATAGAACCCCCAAAGCTCATTCCATTTTGAGAAGTATCCCTCTAAATCACACGTTAGATTCAAGTGTTTTTAAAATCACTGCAAATGAAAGCAAAGGATTTTAGCCAGAAAATAAAGCCATCAAGACAAACATGGGCCGTCTATGGAAATAAAACATCGATGTGATCCTTTACTGTTAAAATCCAGTCTCATCAGGAAGGAAATGTTTTATAATTTCACAAGTACTGACACTTTTAAACATATTGATATACAGGTATTTAATCATATGCAGCAGCTCCACTAGAGAAAGATGTGGACATTAGGACTGAAAACCCTCTAACAGAGCCAAGGCCCAGTCCATTGATCTCATCACACACAGTCCCTTCTGGGGTGGCAGAGCTGGCTGGAGAACAGAAGAGGATTTGGGCTGTTTTCTTTTCTCTGCAGACTCCTCAGGGGCAATTATCTAACAACTTCCAAAAGCTAAAGACCAAATGTTTTGAGATCATAAACCCCATAGTTCATAAACCCTAGATCCCCCAGATTTCATTCATTTCTGCTATCCCTGTCCCTATTTATATAAACTGCAACCAAGCATAGATTACACAGTGCTTACCCTTGGGGACAGTTGGAATGTATCTAATTGACAGACTTGGAGCAGTTACTACTGCCTGCTGCTAAGGTTTCCACTACAGGGGAGAGAAAATGATATCCTTTTGCTTTCTGTCTGTCTGATTGTGGCAGCCAAGATTGGGTGGGGAAACACAGGGGAAAAAAACAGGTAATTTTTGCAACATAGAAATAGCGCTGTATAGCCAAGTATGGTGGTGCACACCTGCAGTCTCAGCTACTCAGGGTGCTGAGGGGGGAGGATTGCTTGAGCCCAGGAGTTCGAGCATGTGGTGCATTATGACTATGCCTGTGAACAGCCACTGCACTGCAGCCTGGGCAACAGAGTGAGACCCTGGGTCTTTTTTAATTAAAAACAAAAAGAAACCAAAAAAAAACCTGTAAACAGTGAAGAGCTTGTTTTGCTCGCAAGAAAAATTTCAGTTTGTGTAAAAAAAAAAAAAAGAACAGTTGGAAAAGCAAGATAACAGAAAATCAAAGTAGCACTCGCTCTCTGTGTGTGTGTGTGTGTATGTATATATGTAATACATATATACATACACACACACACACATATATATATACACATAGAGCTACACTGATTTTACCTATCTGTCTCTCCAAATGACACACACACACACACACAGAGCAAAGAACAAGTATGGTGCTTGGCGTGTGGTTTTTGAATTTAAGGCTTACAGTGGTTTCGCAGAGAGTGTGTTATTTGATGTCACTGCAGTTAAGGAAGGGTAGGAATTCTGTTCCACGTCATGGACGAGGAAGATGAAAGTGAACAAGGGCAATGATGTGTCAAACAGTCATGAGAGTCCTGCTGCTTGGCTGGGCTGTGCTGAAACTCTTGGTTTTGTCTTCAAGGTAATCTGAACCTAACAACAAAGAAACAAGGTGCTGGGACCAATCAGGAACTCGCCTTCTCAGGAACATACCTGTTTATTGCGTGGATGGGGGGTGGTGGGGCACAGGACAGCCGTGCACAGGCGTAGTAGTCACCAATAGACTCGATGATGCTGGCGACCACCGCGCTGAGCATGCCGATGACACCAGCCGCAGACACAGTGGGCAGTCCCCACTGAACTGTGGGAGGAAAACAACCATGAATGCTCCTAGAGAAGCAGGCCAAAGTGACCAGGACCAGTTAACCAAAGTCCTTCTGAACGCTGCAAGACTCTACAAGATCCACTCAGATTCTCGAGCTGGTGGAAACTGTTCATTTTAAAATCTTAAGCACCAGAGGCCTGGGACAGTTGCTAAGTTAGATGAAGAGGGCCATAATGAAGACTGATTCACACTGTGTCTTTAATTAAAACAAGACATCGTGACCGGGCGCAGTGGCTCATGCCTGTAATCCCAGCACTCTGGGAGGCCAAGGCAGGCAGATCACGAGGTCAGGAGTTCGAGACCAGCCTGGCCAACATGGTGAAACCCCATCTCTACTAAAAATACAAAAATTAGCCAGGTGAGGTGGCGCGTGCCTGTAATCCCAACTATTAGGGAGGCTGAGGCAGGAGAATCACTTGAACCCAGGAGGCAGAGGTTGCAGTGAGCCAACACTGCGCCACTGCACTCCAGCCTGGGTGATAGAGTAAGACTCCATCTCAAAAAAAAAAACAAAAACAAAAACAGGAAGAACGCTGGGCTGGAAGAGGCTGTAACTTCTCTTTCCTGCTTCCAAGCCACACTCGGCGTCTACTAAATAACAACTGAAAGTGGCCTGCCGTGTTGGGAAATTTGCATGAGGGATTTACAACCCTGCTGCACAGAGCAGGGTACAAAGCAGCAGTGGCCTTCCCCAGGGGAGGGCATCAAGTGAAAAAGCAGTGAGAAATCACCAGCTAAATTTAAATCCCAACAGTAAAACATCCATAATGTATGGATAGTCCTTCTCTACTATAATACCAGAACCTTATTTTTAAATCATAAACCAAGTTATGGCAAATTAAATAGTTTCAGAAAGCAAAGTGAGGCATTTACTTAATCCCTCATTAGACATGTTTTTCTTTACAAGTATATTTATTTGGACTTGAAAGCCATAGATCTTATTTAATAAAAACAGCATGGGTCTCTTTCAGTGTGAGAATGAATAGATTCCTTTGATAAAGGAGTAGCCCTTTTTTACTTGAAGCATTAGTTATAATACACCCACTGAGGAGAAAGCACAGTGGAAAAAGAACGATGGCTAAAACATGGTCTCTCACGCAGGAGCCAACAATGTAGCTGGGGGCACACGACACTCCAAAAGATCCGGGGAGAGGGCCATGGCTCAACTTCAAAAGTGGATGCAAGCCGAGCTGGGTCACAAGGAGCACCAGTGAGGAGGTCAGGAAAAGGCAAAGTGAGGCCCCGGCCAGGGAAGGATCTGAGGAGGAGGTGGGAATGGAGGTGCCCCTCCAGGGATGGGGAGGGTCTGGGGGTGGGGTTTGAAAGAAGGTGTTCTGGTGGATGCAAAGCTCTCATGCAGAGCATGGGACAGGAGGCGAGTTCGGGAAGGGTTCCAAAAGCCATCTAAGCCATCTCAGGGGTTTGGCCTGTGTTGTAGGTAGCCTAGAGCAACCACTGGATTGGGAAGAGAAAGGATACAAAGTCAGACGTGCAGAATAAGCCTGGAGTGTGGTTAAGGGCAGAACTGCTCCTGCCTCGGGCTGGTTCACTCTGTGGGAGCAGCCAGGGGATGCAGAGGCGGCCCTTGGTCAGGGGTACAAAGTATACAGGTTGATGGACGGGGCTTGACACACCCTATGCCACCAGCAAGAGGCCTGCTCAACATATCAGCTCCAGGTTAATTTGGAATGGATTTTCTTTGTTCAGAGGCCTTCGATACCAAGCAACATTTTGCTTTTTCTAAATTATCTTTTATACTGTTATGTTATTGTTGTAGCATTCTGGTTTCAGTTTAGTGTCTTGATTTTGAGGGGGGATTCTTATTTTGATCCTTTTTCCTTTGGATCTATATCTATCTATATTTTTTTTTCTTAAAGACCCTGTTGACTTCCAGCCTTCTATCTTGAATCTGTTATTTCATATCTCCTTTTACCAAGAAACTTCCATTTAGTTTGTTACTTGACAGCAGGGCTTCTCAACCTCAGCACTGTTGACATTTTGCTCCAGGTATCTATATTACATTAATGATGAGTCCAGATTATGCCTAGTGTACTAAACACTGAAAAGTACGGCTCAGGTATTCGAAAGCCTCTCTCCGGACTGAGACAAAGCACTGGAGAGCACTACATATGTACAGAGTAGTACGACTATATCCCTAGGTGTGGCTTTCCAGCTAGTGGACCTCTGGTACCGCACCAGCCCTCGGCAGGCCAGGAGCCCTACGTGCTCGTTCATGGCCAGCACAACCTCAGATGCTCTAAGTTTTGCCTTCCTGTGCAGGGCCCCTTGGGTCCTAGTGAACTCCCTCTGGCCCCAGCACCTGTACACCTGCCTTTCATGGACAGTCCAGCTTGTGCTCCCACTGGCACCCACCTTGGGAGTTGCCCACACAAGCAGAAGACCACCGTGTAAGTGCTGTGGGTGCTTCTACCTACCCTCCACCCCCGCCTCCCCTCACTCCTTGCCCTGACTGCCTCATCAACTAATTGTAATTTCATTTTATCTCAGACTATAGGTATGTTTATGAACCATGCACATTCCTTCTTGGAGAAAGAACAGGTCTGTATAAGTGCATACTTAAACCATACCATCTGATGAGAAAGTTATTTTAGAAAGATTTTTTTTTTTTTTTTTTTTGGAGACAGTCTTGCTCTATCTCCCAGGCTGAAGTGCAGTGGTGCGATCTCGACTCACTACAACCTCCACCTCCCAGATTCAAGCGATTCTCCCGCCTCAGCCTCCCAAGTAGCTGGAATTACGGGCACCCGCCATCATGCCTGGCTGATTTTTGGGTTTCACCATGTTGGCCAGGCTGGTCTTGAACTCCTGACCTCAGGTGATCCTCCCGCCTCGGCCTCCCAAAGTGCTGGTGTTACAGGCATGAGCCACTGTGTCTCGCCTGAAAGATGAAACTTTTTAAAGCTTTCCTAAGTGTATTAAGAACAAAAAGAACAGCCAACACTCATCATTCAACATGCTCAGAGCAGTCCTCTTTAACCCAACCTTATAATTCTTGGCTTCTCTCTTTTTCTCCTTGCCATTATAAAAAATGAGAGTAAGATGGTTAAACAGGGAAAGAAGTGGGCTGAACCTGACTAAGCTCAGGCCCCAATTCTAATAAAAACCCAAACGCTGGGACTAGAGTCTTCACAATGGAACCAAGTGGGTAACAACCACTGGGATCACCTAGACGGGGCTAGCTACCAGTCCAGGTGACACCCCAGCTAGGGAATGCATTCACACCCCCAAGAGTTACACAACACTCAAATTAAGATGCAGCTTTTGGCCACTAGTGACTATCAACTTACCTCTACAGCTGTGGCCAAATTTAAAAGATTATGGCTGCCCATTAAGAGATTATATAAATTCCATCGTGCTTGAGCAGGTTGCTTGCTAATCCCCAGGCTGTTCCCACTCACGTCTTTCCACTTTGGCAGCTCTGGGACCAAGCAGCTCTATACTTGCCTATCTAAACAGCTGCCCTCAAATCCTGGCCACCAGAGCCTCAACCTGGCAAGAGACACCTTGTCCCGGATTTCATCCTAGCAGATCCAAAAGAGACAGCTAGCTAATCTGAGAAGGGAGCCAGTCAGTCTCTGTGTGTTGGCTTCTGCTCTCTGGGGACAGGGCCTCCCTTACTTGCTGTCTAATCCTCTCCTGACCAGAATGGCAAGACCCTCAGGACACATTCTGGGACAAAGAAGGCTGTTCTGCCAACTTCCAACCCCTCTCGGTTGGGCCCTCCTGGGCTCCTGACCCCTCTGGCCATCAGAATACTTACATGGGTACGGAACCTTAAACCACGGGGCTACCAGCAGCACGCCCTGCCTGGCATCCGTGCGAGCGTAGAAGCCATACTTCGTGCTGTCGGGAGGGAAGACGTCTGTCACCGTGAAGATGAAGCAGAGCAGCCAGGATACCAGGATGGCCAGGATGATCTGGAGTGGTCAAGGGGAAGCTCTGTCAGGCCAGGAGGGCTCACAGGTGTTGGCAAAAAACACCCCTTCCCGCGGTCTGAACATCACACCCCAGAGCCCACCACAGTCAGCACTCTGCAGACATATTCTTCCTTGAATGGAATCTCACTGAGAGAGCAGTTTCATTCAGGTGAAATTTATCTTACCCCTTCCAAAGTCTGGCTAGTAAAACAAGAATGGACATCGTGCCTGCAGAGGCCACGTGGAGTCGAATCTCACTCAGTCCCAAGGACAGTGTCCCCTTCCTGTGGCACTGCTAAAAGGATGTGCTCTCATTTCACAATCAGAACCTTTAAGTCTATGATGATTTGAGTGGTCATTAGTACCCTGATATCACTGCACAGACATGATCCCCCAAGGGGGGCCTGCTTAAAACCCTCCCTTCCCTTAATCATCTTACGTATTATCCAAAGGCAAAAATATCAGCGGGGAAAGAAGCCAGCTACTCACGGGGAACATTTTGAACAGCTGTAACTTGTATGCAGTCCATCCTTTCTTGGATTTATAAATCGGGAGAGGAAATTTAACATTTCTGGCATATTGAGAAAACAGTAATACTAGGAATATTGTCCTGAGGAGAGAAAGAAAACAAGGTAGGTCAAAGGCTGTTATGTCTCTGTTGTAAAATAACACTCGAAGCTTCTATGGCAAAACTGACATAGTGTTCAATTCATTTACCTAGAAAGCTGCTAGTCCTCTGAACTACTATTTGAGAAACAGTACATCTATTGGAACGTACATCTTTTTGAAACACTACTTTAGGGGAAGATGTTACAACTAACTTGCCTAGCATTTCTTGATACTGAAATGAAATTCTGAGGTAAATGCCTTAGGACAGCTTTTCCTAACTAGAATAAGAGAACCCAAAGAATGTATACGTTGATGGGAAAAGCTTACACTATGGAAGGGGAAAGGATGCCGGATACAACATAAACTGTAAGATTCGAACTACGAATTAACTACAAAGCAAACCAAGAAACTACTGCATGTACACACAAACAGGTAAGAAGGACATGATCCAAAATTCTCTCAGGGATTCGCTTTGAGTAGTTAGATTTGCAACTAGTTTTCCCACTTTTCTGTATTTTCCAATTTACTTACAGCACGCATAAATTACTTTTAAAAGAGCAAAAAGTAAAGCTTCACTGTTTAAGAAAACTAGATACAGTAGAATTCAGTATTAATAACATTCCTGAGAGGCTTTTGTGTGCCAGACACTACACTAATGTCTTCCTGTGCATCATCTCAACATTATGGGGTGGCTTCTATGATCGTCTCCTTTTCACAGAGACAAAGCCAGAGGTCAAGGTCACACGGCTAGGGTTGCAGCATTGCGGGGCCAGGAATCTAGCTCTGTGGCTTGAACTGAACTCTTTCCTTTTGGCACCCTGGTCACAGGGCAGGGAGGCTGGGCTGCGAGAAGTCCCTCTCCTTGAGCCTCACGGTCCTGACTGAACTGCACTAAGTGCTACAGGAGGCAGCGACAGGCGCCGACTCCTCCACAGCAGGACCACGGCACTTCCTGACACACCAGTCCGTGACATCGGTCTGGTGTCCCATGGAGCTGGCAGATGTGGGGCCACTTCCCATTCCCCAGGTGGATTTACTCATCACCAAAACAAAACTGGTGCCCAACAATGCGTCTAAGCCTCCACGTGGTCTCGCTCCTTCACTTAAGACCTGAGGTAGAGCTGGCAGGAAGAGTAGGTTCTCAGTCAAAGCTAAGCTTAATTGTTCCTGGGCACAGTTCCAACTGCTGAGATGGCATCATTAGCTCCATCGACAGCCGGTCAAGTGTGACTCCACTGTCACATTCCTAATGAGGTGTGGATGGCATCCCGGCTGGAGAACAGGCGTGTGTTGCTCCACGGGTCTCCCCGCCTACTCAGACACTTCAGTGAACTGGTGATCCATCGGGGGTCTCCGCCAGTACCAGTTCAAGGTTGAAAACGCACACAGTGCCCACGTGATTTCAATTCCTCTGGGATAGTGAAGTTTAACACAAAAGAATATGGTAACAAGGGATACTAAAACTGGAATATTTTAAACTTAGACCTACATATAATTTTCATGTTAGGAAAAAAAATGCTACCTATTTGTTTCAGAGTGAATATTAGGAGATCCGAAGATGCCCCAAGTCTGCTATTTTCGTCATCATTATTTCAGGCAACACACCTGCACATTTAAGAGGGGACTGAGACCACACAGAATTTGAGGAGGGACACTCAGATCTCAGCCCCAAATCAGCAACTCAAATTTAGAAAGCAGATTAGGCAGCGGATGAACATGACTATTTCTTTCAGCTCTAAAACCTGTCTACTTCGAGTTTATTTTCAGTCTCAAATACACCTGGGGGCGGGCACCCTGTGACAGAGGCAGCGGCTTCGAGATGCAGACCTGCCCATGTCCACACATCTTAACTGAGCAAAGGGATGAAGCGTTTCAGCCTCAGCTCTCAGGATGGGCTGCTGTCTACTCCACTGGGTGCTTTTCACCTCATGTTTACCTTTGCTAACTTTTACTTTAAAATGTTATGCAAGTAATGCACACTACATTGTAGAAAAAATTTAAAAGACAGGTAAGCAGAAAGAAAAAAAACAAAACCCTGAAGATCATCCATAATCCCCCTTGAGTGATAAAACCACATAATATTGTGGTCTATCTGTTCTGAATGGCCTTCATTCCCTGGATATTTGCTGGGTGCTGGAGGAAGACACATTGTCATCTTCCTTGTCCCCAGATATGAACAGGTTATTATCTGAGCCAAACTGGCATCAAGTTTTATGCAGCTTCCTGACCTGCCTCACGACTATTTGCTTTTCCACCTCATCAGACAGAGATTTGCATTAGCACCTTAGTGACTGCTTTAGTATTCTGTTTTATGGACATACCACAGCTTGTTTAACAATTCCCATACTGTATGACATCGGAAGCAACATAAACAGCTTTAATTGAAAAACTGTATCATCATTGCTTCTAATACTCAGTCTTTACACATTGAGGTATATATTTCAACGATTTTTTTTGTAGCAGCAAAAATTTAAGCTACATGCATGAGCATCAATTGAGAAATGGTTGAATAAATTATAGACTATATTAAACACTGTGCAGATTTAGAAAGAAAGAGATCAGTGTAAACATGCTGTCTAGGAGAAGTAAACCCAACAAATTACTGGGGTAAAAGCAAATAAAATTATGTTGAAGCTGTATGTATGCTAGTTTGTGCTTATTTGCATAAAAATAAAAAAATACGTAAGGATAAAAACAAACTTTTTTGCTAGTTAACAATCATGAGATTTTTTTGAGACATAGAGTAGGAGGTGACTATTTTACTTTAGATTTCTGTGCTCAATCACTGTTAAATTTCAAATACCTAGAATGTAACTGAATTGGAGGGGGATGAAAAACAGTGGGCTATAGATAAAAGTATACTGTTTTGAAGTGCCTGGGATTGACACATGGCGGTTCATTAAACTATTCTCTTCACTTCTGGATAGGTTTGAAATTTTCCATAAGAAAAGTCAGTTTTAAAAAAAAGTTTTAAAATGCAGGTCCTACCAAGGACATACGCACTGTGCCAGAAACAGCAGTCATTGACCGGCCGCACTAACCTCCCTGAGACTCTGTCTCTAAACCCCATCTGTATTGGAGTGACTTACTTTGTACCACTCATTCACTCTCAATTCCAACAGAATCATGTAGGTAATACACATTTTAATAAATTGGGAGCATAAACCTTTTTCACACATTAATGAGCTAGGTGTAGTTCCTTTTTTGCTAAATGGCTACTCCTATCACACTCCTCATCCATTACTCCACTGGGATTCTCTCACTTTTTTTTTTTTTTTTTTTGAGACAGAGTCTCGCTCTGTCGCCCAAGCTGGAGTGCAGTGGCCGGATCTCAGCTCACTGCACGCTCTGCCTCCCGGGCTCATGCCATTCTCCTGCCTCAGCCTCCTGAGTAGCTGGGTCTACAGGTGCCCGCCAGGTCCCCGGCTAGTTTTTTGGTTTTTTTTAGTTGAGATGGGGTTTCACCGTGTTAGCCAGGATGGTCTCAATCTCCTGACCTCGTGATCCGCCTGTCTCGGCCTCCCAAAGTGCTGGGATTACACGCTGGAGCCACTGCACCCAGCCTCTCTCACTTTTAACCAGTAGAACTCTTTACAAGTTAGGGATGTTAGCCTTTCTTGTGACATTTTTATGAGTATTTTCCCAGCTTTTTTTTGAGACAGAGCCTCATTCTGTCGCCCAGGCTGGAGTGCAGTGGCGCAATCTCAGCTCACTGCAACCTTCACCTCCTGGGTTCAAGTGCAATCTCAGCTCACTGCAACCTCCACCTCCTGGATTCAAGTGATTCATGTGCCTCAGCTTCCGGAGTAGCTGAGATTACAGGTGCCTGCCACTACACCTGGCTCATTTTGTATTTTTAGTAGAGACGGAGTTTCACCATGTTGGCCAGGCTGGTTGAGAACTCCTGAGCTCAAGTGATCTGCCCACCTCAGCCTCCCAAAGCGCTGGGATTACAAGTGTGAGCCACCATACCAGGTTTGTTTTTAATTCAGTGCTTTTTGATGTTTTAAATGTGTCAGTAGTAAAATCTTTCTTTCTCTCTCTTTTCAATATCTGCTTTAAGGAAGATCTTTCCTCCCTTAGGATTAAATACTTATTTAGGTTTTCTTCTAGCACTTTTATGGTTATTTTATATATTTAAGTCTTTAGTTCAACTGAAATATAATTTGATATAAATTAGGAGTCTAACTTTTTCCCAAAAACAGTTTTTCCTACACAATTTGTCCATTCCCTACTGGTTTCAAATATGACTGTCATCTATACTAAATACTTATTTTTCTTTGATTCTGTTCTTCTTACTCTGCTCTACCGATGTCTATCCCTGTCCCAGTACCACCATATTATTTATGAAGCTGTGGAATGTATTTAATTCCTCTACAGGCAAGTCACCATCCCCTCTCCTCTCTGATCTTTTTGGTATGGATCCACATTATTTTACTTTCTTGTTTTATACATTGACTAGCACATCTAGAATAACTTTAAATGATACCAGTGATAATAAACAAGCTTATTTAATTTCCTGATTTGAATATTTCATCATTCAAGTATGAGGCATTTTTATCTTATGCATAAAGATCCTTCTATACAGCCGGGTGTGGTGGCTCACACCTGTAATCCCAGCACTTTGGGAGGCTGAGGTGGGTGAATCACCTGAGGTCAGGAGTTTGAGACCAGCCTGGCCAACATGGTGAAACCCCATCTCTACTAAAAATACAAAAAATTAGCTGGGAGTGGTGGCAGATGTCTGTAATCCCAGCGACTTGGGAGGCTGAGGCAGGAGCATTGCTGGAACCTGGGAAGTGGAGGTTGCGGTAAGCCGAGATTGCCCTATTGCACTCCAGCCTGGGCAACAAGAGTGAAACGCTGTCTCAAAAAAAAAAAAATTCCTTCTGTTCTGACATTGCTAAGTTTGCAGCAAGGACATAGGTTGAATTTTACAAATAAAATTTAGGGGAAGGGACTATTACCATAGTTTTTATCAATAAGAGCTTATTAATAAAATCTACCCTGTAGTCCCAGGTACTCTTGGGAGGCTGACGAATAAGAATCGCCTGAACTCAGGAGTCAGAGGCCGCAGTGAGCTGAGATGGTGACACTGCACTCCAGCATGGGTGATGAAGTGAGACCCTGTCTCAAAATTAAAAAAAATAAAATAAAACCTACCATGCAGCCATGATCGATTTCAACACACTTTAATATCTGACCATCTGTGAATTCTTGAAAAGACACATTATGCCTTGTTCTTTCATTGTGTTATCCATAGCAGCATCTTCCCAAACATGCTCTAAGGAATAGTCTACCAAGATATGCTTATAGATGTTGGCATTTAAAAAACAAATGAAGGGTGGACAGGGCTGGACACTAAGGCCCTTTTCTGAAGGTGAATAGAGTCTTTTGCACATTTGCATTTTTAAAGATTGGAAGGAGCCTTACAGTAGAGAATGATGCGGAACTTGAGCATGCTACCTGAAGACATTTGAACTCAGGGCTCGTTGCTTAGAATGTGCCGCAATACATCCATCGGCTCAGGATCTGTTTGTTTTTAACACAACCCCAGGAAAGAAAACGATGGTCCATGGCTCTCCTTTTGTATTAGTTCAGTCAGAATTTGCTGCTAAGATTGGCTGGGGAGTTTCCCTCCTTTCACAGAGCTCTGGAACAGTTTAAACGGTGCATATATTCTCTCCTCCTTGAAGACTGAAAGAACTCATTGTCTAACCATCTGGACCCAGGGCTTCTTTTAGGAATCAGAATCCTTCAACAACTATCTTGGTTGCTCTTGTGGTCATGGGTTTACGGGGCTTCCTGAGCCTTCCTTCATTAGCTCACAACCTGCTCACTGAGCGCCAGCTCAGCCATGGGAGGGGCAGGTGCTGGGGGTGCCAAGGTGACCCGCCCAGCACATAGGCCGTGCCCTCACAGAGCTGACAGCCCAAGGCCACAGAAGAGCTCTTAGAAACGGAAAAAACACCAGAGCGTAAATGACAGTCTTGGCAGAAGGAATAAGAGATAAAGCAAAAGATAATTCTCGCGAATAGAGAAAAAAGACAAAGAGATAGAAAACAGGAGAAGAAAGAGGAAGAGTCCAGGAGGCTTCAAGAAGAGGTTACAGAAAGAGACAAGTAAGGGTGGAGTGGAGAAAGGCATCTAAATAATTCAAGATCATGTCCCACCTCTGCATGCCTGGGTGCCCAGAGCAAAGGGGCTCCAGGTATCCAGGCCAAGAGATGCAAACACACCCACCAAGGGCAGCACGTGAGGCTCCACACATTGGAACAGTAAGAAGACCCCAAAGCTTCCAGAATTCTAGCTTGTGTCTAACTGATGTTTCAAAAGGAGGGGACAGAGGAGGACCCCTGGGAGACATGAGGGAGAAGTTGGGGACAGTGAGGAATCACCGGCCAAGGGCGACACTCACACAGGGTGGCGGCAGTGAAGGCCTGGAAAAGAGAGCAGGTTTAGAACTTGTTCTGGAGGAGGAAGGGCAGGACGGGCTGTGTGAGGGATGAGGGGAAAGGAAGACTCAAGAGCAGATAGACATTTCTGGCTGAAGCAACTGAGAGCACGGTTGTGCCATTTACCGAAAGGAGGAAGGCAGAAGAAACTGGTTTCGGGGGTTGGAAAGGAGTCAAAAGTCTGGGGCTTTTTTCATTTACAGTTGAAGATGTCTTGTGTAACAGCAAGTGGAGAGGACAAGCTGAGGGCTGGCTCTGTAAATCTGGAGTTCACAGGTCTGAACTACAGGTTTCCGCAGAAATATTCACCTTCAAAGAAATGCGATCTCCTCGGGGGAAGTGCATGGAGAGAAGGGGCCAGGATCAAGTTTGGAGGCACCCCCATACTTACAGTGAGGAGGAGTCAATTTTGGTTACTTAGGCTTTTCTGAAAACCACTATTTTCTTACTTTTTGTTTTAATTTGGGGGGAGGTAACAGTTTAGCTCCCTCTGACGGGATCTGTGGCAGATCTACGTGCACAGGCATCCTCTTATCCTGCTTAGCTTTGCCAGAAGTTTGTCTACATCAGGTTTTTTTCCCCCTCAAGAGACCAGCTTTCAGATTTACCACTTCTATCTGTTTCACATTTTCTGTATCTTTATTAATTCATTCCCCCTGCTTTTACTAGGTTCATTTTTTTGTCCTGTTTTCTTAGCTAGTGAAATTCTTCATGTGCTGTATCTGCTTTAAAGGTTGAGAATTTTCTTGAGAACACCTCTGGCTACTAAGTGTGACTGGTGCTGTTCTTGCCATCATTTCCTAAACTATCAGTAATTAACTGCAAAGTTTCAATTTCCCCTCTGAGAGTGATTTTTAACACTTTTTTTTTTTTAAGCTGCTAAGTGCTTTGTGAGTTTTGTTCATCCTTTTGTTATTGGTTTCAAATTTTACTGTACTATACCTACTATTTATCCGTTTTGGCATTAATTACATTTTGCTGAAAGAATATTCTTACATGCCATCTTCCCACCTCTGCTGGTGTGAAGAATGTTTTGACCAACCTTTGGAGAAATGAGAATATTAAGAACAATTTTGGGCCGGGCACAGTGGCTCACGCCTGTAATACCAGCACTTTGGGAGGCCCAGGTGGGCAGATCGCTTGAGGTCAGGAGTTTGAGACCAGCCTGGCCAACACGGTGAAACCCTGTGTCTACTAAAAATACAAAAACTAGCTGGGCGTGGTAGTGGGTGCTTGTAATCCCAGCTACTTGGGAGGCTGAGGCAGGAGAATTGTTTAAACTTGGGAGGCAGAGATTACAGTGAGCCAAGATCATGCCATTGCACTCCAGCCTGGGCACTGGAGCAAGACTGCATCTCAAAAAAGGAACAGTTTTGGGAAAGCATGATGATGGGTATTCATGCTCAGGTGTGAGATGTGCCTCCTTCAAACCTTGTTTAAAGAAAAAAACTTGGTATTTTCACACACCTTAATTGTAAAGTGTAGAAAACAATTCTGCTATGGTTCACTTTTATTTGTACATCATGTTCTAATACACAGAACAGGATTGAGTAGGATGGGTTCAGGCCCATTTCCAACACTTCGGTTTTGAAACCCACGTTGGCCACTTAACTCACCGTATGACTCTGGGCCAATAACATTACATTGTGGTGCTCAGTGTCCTCTGCTATTAAATGGGATAACACTAGGATGTACCTTATCTGATACTATATACAAGTGTTATATAAAGGACTGATGCGTAGTAAAAGATCAATAAATACCACCTGTTATTAAATAACTGCAGAATATTTCACAAAACAAATGAAAAATCCTCTTACGTGATGACTTATTTTGTTTTAGGAATTTTACTGGCTGGTTAAATTCCAGAGTAATGGAACCATATACCCACACATAATCAATTCTTAAACATGCTCTGCAGACACACAGAGAATGTGGGCTCTGTGTTACAAAGAGTTCTGTGGCTCTAATCATCAGTAATATTATCAAACTCCCCTGTGACTTCATTAACACAAAATGTTAACTTTACTTAAAGGGCAAGGGACATCTTTAATGGATGTGACATTCTATACAAAAGGACAGGCACTGACTAGCAGGACTCCAGCAGAAACCATGTCCCTCCCCCAACCACCCACCCATCAGGAGTGCAGAGCTCAGTGTGGCGTGGGGAGAAGAGCCACATCATCAATGCCAACAGACCTTTCCCGCAACTTCTCTGGAAATACTCCAGACTCCTGCCACTCTGAATATTTTTGAGTCTCATGATATAAAAATTTGGCTTCTCGGCCAGGAGCGGTGGCTCACGCCTGTAATCCCAGCACTTTGGGAGGCCAAGGCGGGCAGATCACGAGGTCAGGAGATCGAGAACATCCTGGCTAACATGGTGAAACCTCGTCTCTACTAAAAAAAAAAAAAAAATCAGCCGGGTGTTGTGGCATGTGCCTGTAGTCTCAGCTACTCAGGAGGGCGAGACAGAAGAATCGCTTGAACCCGGGAGGTGGAAGTTGCAGTGAGCCGAGATTGTGCCATTGCACTCCAGTTTGGGTGACAGAGGAAGACTCGGTCTCAAAAAAAAAAAAAAAAAAAGGCTTCTCAGTATGTCACCATGCACATGAGACTTGGCAAGACCTCAAAAGTCAAAAACAAATGGTGCCAACACCTTACCCCATTACCAAAGCTTAAAACCTTACAACCCACACTATTCATACGGCTGCTAAGTCTGTCTCTGTAATACCTCAACTGTATGTCACTTCCCAAACTTTGGGTCAAAAACCCTTTGACTATTCCCTAGCTTGAAGCAAATAAAGTTGAAACTGTCAGACCATTCTTACTATTGGAAAACATTATCTCCTGAAGTCTACGTGAATGTTCCTAAAGGCTGCCCTGCAGTGGTGGGACGAGGAGAGATGTTTCCACTTACAGCATGGCAATGCCCCAGTGCTTCCCGGCTCTCTCCCCCGCTGCCTGGAAACCAGAGAGGCCAATGAGGGCCACCGTGGGTGTAATGGTCAAGGGACCGATGTACTTCAGCAGAGCCCCAGGCAGGCCTAGGAGGCCGATGACTACTTCTATCAGTGAGGACATGATGATGGCCCCCTGGATCTGCAACAAGAGATGGCACAGACATGAGAGTCAGCTGCTTGTACACTGCACGCTCAGAATGTCACCTACAACCACAACTGATAATTCTGCAAGGCAGTAAGTTATTACATCATCTAACTTGGGAGAGACAGCTGGAAAATCCCCCAGGACCTGACAAGAAACTTCAGTGGGCGCTAACTGGGGCCTGCATTCCTGAGGCAGGTGTATTACAGAAATGGGTCCTGGACACACGGTCCACATGCCTTTTCCACTGCTAAATGATGCAGGCAAAAATTTGTAATTCCCATTTAAGAAACACAACATTTAAAGACCAGCCTTAGAGGAACAGTGCAGCATAAAGACTCTCAGCTTTAAAGAGTGAGCCCCCAGAACATCGACAAGACAGTGTTGTTGACAGAAATTCTAAAGGGATGTTTTTAGTGTGCAGAATGGCCACATCTGTGCTCATTCTGAACTGATGGCGAATTATCTCACAGGTTTTGGAAAACATTAATACACTGTCAGCCGTACTTCATGTCTGCTTCTGTTCAATTGCACTTTGGCAGACAAATATCTTTAGCTCTTTCAATGAACACAGGCAGACGCTGAGGCCAGGGTGAACAATTCTATCTGTCGATGATGAGCCTCTGTAGCTCTGTCCAGGGAGCTACCAACCTCAGCTAGTTGTGCTGGCGGGTGTGAGTGGACAGGTCTGTGGGTGTGCAGGAGGGAGGAAACCATTCCTTCTGGGTGCCCAAAGCATTTCCATATGCTTGATTCTAGAGTGTTGCTTAACTACATTTACTTTAACGAGAGAAATAAACGTATCAGTAATTGAAAAAGAAAAGAAGGGCTCAGTAAAAGTAACTGCTATTTCCTGGGTCAACCAACATTGAAGCTGAGAAGAAACACGAAGAAGCCAAAGGCAGACAACGCTTGTCTTTTACCTCTCGGATCCGGGGATACCAGATGTGTTCCGTGTGCAACAGCTCTGCCGTTCCATTGGCAACTGAAACATCTTGAAAACAAAAACAAAGTTTTTCTTGGAGTGACACTGATGTCTCACATGACATACTCATTTTACCTTTTAAGAAGAATTGTCTGCCTGTTTTTACTGTATCTGTGTCAATCCCCATCCCTAAAAATCAACCTCTAACAGTACAGCTTATCTTACTGAAAGGTGGATCCTCAAATGCTAATTTAACCAAATGAATTCATCGACTGAGAGCTCCCCAAATTGTCAAAAGCTAACTGAAGTGGTGATACACGTTACTAGCACCAGCCTCACACAAAAAAAACCAACCTTTGCACACAGCTCACTGAAATGCCCGACAGCAAGGCTGCTGGACTGAGGTTTGAAAAACTTAGATAAAACAGAGGGCCTTTTCCAGTTCCCAGATCAAATCAGTGGTCACAAAGTAACTCCTAGGAGCAAGGAAGGAAATGAAGGCTGGAAAACTTTGCTCCTAGAAGGTCAAAATGTAATTGTATTTTTGAGAGTACAGGTCTGACTCTGATTTTCTCAAATTCCCTATCTTTTCCTGACCTTATCGGGTTCCTTAAGGATCTTTGCAATCACTAAGGAAGGGGAATGAAAGTCATTTGCAGCAAACCACAGTAGCCAGATCCTTAAAAGCAAAGACGTTTCAGAGAAGGGATGCTGACGCAGCAAAGAGAGTGATTACTGGTGGGTCATAAAATCCACTGAAAGAGAGAGGCAGAAAAATAGCACAAATATTTTTCTATTCCGTTCCCATATTTGTCAATTTCATTAACAGAGAAATGAGGTCAATTCTGATCCCTTCTTGCTCTAGGGTTAGGGATGAACAAGTGGATAGAAAGAGAGAGACAGACACGGTCCACAGATGGAGCATTCTAAGCTGTTTGTGGGTTTGTGTGCTTTGTCCCTAATTCCAGAAAGGATTTAGCGCTGCTGAGGGCAGCATGTCCAGGCCTCCCTTTACACCTGCATTAAGGGACCCCAATGACATATGTGGAAATAACTGCAATTACCTGTGGTGTTACATTTCCATTTATCTAAAGACAGGATGGCTCGAGCAGGGGCCAAAAATGCAAAAGCACTGGCCTGAAACAGGGGTAACCTAAAAGAAACGAGACCAAAACCATGATCACGGCATCGGGAACTACCGAGGTAGTTCACTATTTGATAGCTTAACAGTCTTTTCCATAGACATACAGCACATGAGTAAATGCAGGCACACCTAGAAGAAAAAGCCCCAGTCTGCAAAGGTCTCCTGTGCCATGCAGCCACAGCCAGTGGCTTCTTCATCCTCCCCATTACCACTCTCCTCCCACCCAGGCAGCTCCAGGGTGGGCCCCGTGGTCAGTGCCAACACCCAACACCGGCCCCTGCCATCACCACCTTTCCTCTTGCAGGTGGGGGACTGCGGGCATTTGAGGTTCCCTCTTCCCTGCTGAGCTTATAAACTCCTTTTTAAACATCAGTGTATTTCTGCTTTTTTACCTCCCTCCTCCTCCCTTTAAAATTATTATTGGTTATCACAGGAAAAAATTTCCCTCCGTTGTTTCATTTTGTGAATCAAAAATTGCCCTAATCACCGATTACAGATAAATCATAATAGTGATCTAGATCTACAGAGCTGTAAGTTACAACGTGATAGCAGACATAATAAATATTCTGCTTAATCATAAAAATACTTAAAGGTATTCGAACATATTTTAAAGGGCCCAGAAAACTTGCAGAATCTCCATTAAATTTGCTGCCCACATCCTCAAACTAAATGCAGAGATCCTCAAATGACATGATTTGATTATATTTTAGATATTTCACATTGACTTCACGAACACTTAAGCTATTCAAAAAGACTACCATTTTTTAATGAAAATGTACAGCATTTCAGCTAAGTCACATTAAAGTGGCTTTATGGGTTAGCATCAGAACTTAATCACTATTTTAAATATAATTTTGAGGGTAAAATATTAAACTGGCTCTTCCTGTTTGCAGGGCTGGGAACTCTCACACATCCAAATCCTGAAAGGCCCCAGGGAGCCTAGTCAGTGGCCTTGCCAGTGACACAGGGACCCAGCATCCTTCCCTTTGAGCAGTCTGGCAGCAAGTCCTACCCACAGTGAAACAGGAACCGGACTGAGAAATCCAACTGGCTCTGGCTAAAGAACAAGCAGTCTCGTTGCAAGTCCAGAGCCCAGCACACACCATTCTGAGCCAGGGAGGTCAAGACGTCCTTGTTACAGATGCTCTCCTGGCTGTTTAATCATGCAATGACATCAATCCAGAGTATGCAGGGTGCTGGCTTTAAGGCACAGAGGCAGGCTACACCACACAAACCGGATGCATTGCTGATGGCCACTCCCATAGGCATGCCCTTCAATAACCATCCAGTTATAATTACCTGCCAGAGGGGCCCAGAGGATAGCAGAAGTGAAGGACACCTGAAGTGGGAATGTATGTCAAAGGGAAAACACTGTTTGACTTCTAAGTATTCCATAAGCACAAATTTTCAGGACTGTACTGAAAGGACAACATATAATTAGGGATGGATGCTGTCTGGAATGGTCCAAATGCCATTTCGTTTACTATGGTTTCCGACTTCAACCAATGCATCCTAGGGCAGTGGAATACAAATGGTGAACTGCGTTTAGAGATTTTATCCTTAGGAATGTGGCCATCACACATCACACTGCATTGGTGATTCACTGGAAATGGCAAAAGGAAAGACTGGATCTGGCTTCCACTCTTCAGTCAGACCTCAGCCTGAACCTGACCTTGGCATCTGACCTGGCCACCTTTCGGGGTGGGCATTTGATGGCTTAACTAGGACTAAAGGTCCCAAGAGCGCTGCTGCAAAGACACTCGCTCATTTGCGAGCTGCTGGGACCCTGGGCTCCCCTGAAATAGATGACGATAGAAAAAGTCTCCCGAGACAATCTGGAAAGGGCTGCTCATGCCAGCATTACGTGTTCATATCTAGCCAGGCAACATCGCCTGACACAAGCTGTTAAGACGCCAGCACTAAGTGTGGGCTCTGTCACTGGCTTGACTGAAACATTCTCGGGGAAAGTTGCAACAAGAGCATATGAACACGTTAAACAAACGAGAGCTTCCCTAGATCACAATTAACAAAGCCAATTTTCCAAGAAAACGACTGAAGGTGATAACAGTGACTTTTTTAGGTGCTTGCCCAGTGTGAAGCTGGTCAATTCTCAGCTCTTCTCTCTGCACCCAGAGTACGGCCCCTATGACCACGTAAACCTCAGGCACCCAGGTGGGTCTCCCCAGGCCAAGAAGACTGCCTGCTCTTTTATTTTGTACTAAAGACTGGAAAGGAAATACATTAAACTGTGCTTTTCTTTACACCAGGGGCTGCCAAACCAGCTAGTGGGCCAAATCTGGGGTGCTACCTATTTTGTAAGTAAAGCTGTACTAGAATAGAGGACAGCCATTTATTCACTCATGGTCAACGGCCACTTTCACGCGGTCATGGTGGAGCTCAGCACATTAACAGTGGCACGCAAGGCCTAGGCTATTTACTGTTGGCCTTCTACAAAAGAAGTTTTTCTGACCTGTCTACAGGGAAAATATATCTTAAATATGTGAAGAGGCAGTGGGTTTCTGCAGCTGGAAATTCTCACAGTTAATAGTGGCCACTAGACATTAGTTTAAAAAACAAAATCCTGAGCAGACCAGCAATTGTGACATGATGAGATCCCATGTCAGGCTCCAGCCTCAGGACAGCAAGAGAACCTAAGAAACTCCCCCACAGTCCTTACGTTATTCAAAACCCTGCCAGAGCCCCGCCATGTCCAGCTTGGTGCCCAGGTAACCTGAACCCCACTCCCAGCCTGGTATCTCTCATCAGCTCCTTCATACGAGTTCAGTTTTCATTTGTCATTTAAGGCACAGAGAAAATATCACCTCCTCCAGTAAATATTCCAGGATCTCCTTTGAATCTGTAATGTGTTCCCCTACAACTTAGGGCTTTTTGTCAAGATTTTTGCAAGTCACCTCCCAAGTTACCAGGAAGCTGCTTCAGGGTTCTCTGGGAGTGCTGGTTAAAGGTGGAGATTTCTGCGTCTTGTCCTGGTTAGCCAGATTCAGGGGTGGGTGGCACCAAATCTGCATTTTCAACAATGCCTTCTAGGGGTGGCTGAGACTGACAACCCCTGTGCCAGGTAAAGGGATTTACCATTTTGTCACTTTATAAACGATTCTTGGGTATCTGCTTCACACTAGCACAATTATAAGCAGATACGATGACAGAAAACACTTCCTGAGCCCTTCCGTTTCTGCTGCGTGAAGACACTAACCACGGTCACATACGAGGGGCAGTGATGTGATGGTGTGAAATGCTGTGGGACTCTGCAGGTGCAGTCGCTTGAGCGAGTCTTAAAGCACGAGAAGTGCTTCGCCATGTGTGTGAGGGTTTCAGGTATTCCGGGCAGAGAGAGGGGAGGTGCAAAACAAGAGCCACAGGATGGACCCAGGAACCCTCAGAGGACTGCAGATTCTCTACTTGGGCGAAAGCACAGGGAGCTCATATGGTGAAGGTCAGTGGGGACCAAATGACAGATGCCCTGTGTTCTTCCCACAGCAAGAGGAAAACGAGTGAAGGACCTGCTCTGAAAGGACCACTGTAGGAGAACTGGGAGAGGTGACCTTAACCCTGAAGCTATTCTCAGTCTTGAAGGAACCAAGCCACCGAGGACATCCCAACAGGCTGTGGCATGGCTCTGTGTGTCGTCTTTGCTTTTTAATTCCCTTTGGCATCCGCTCGAATGACGAGCCAGCCTGAATCAGATCTCCACATGCGCCCAGCCTCTATCTGCTCCCTTCCTCGGGCTGCTGCTGTCTGTGCTGGTGCACTTCCCATGAGCTGTCCTGCCCCCCTCAACTTTGAGGTAGGCATCCCGATAGTAGGAAGTGGATTGGCTTCACCCACCGTCTTGACCCACCATGTATCCTCAGCACCAATGAATACTTAATGAAATGAAGGGGCTATTTACAAATATTCTCAGAAAGGAATTCTATTAAACTAAAAATAAGAGGTTAAGTCTTTCTGGCAAGTTGATTTTGACTGCAAATTTGGAAGAGTGGTGATTAGATTAAAAGCGCTCAGAGCTGGGGATGAAATGTGCATGGGTTTTCATGATTCACCCAGATAAGCCTCCAGTCGCCAGGCAGCTTGCAGTCCCCCTATGGTGCCATCAGAGAAAGCTTAAAAGCCAATAGTTCCTATGGGAAGCACCATGAAGGTACAAAATTATCTGCCCAGAACTAAACTGTTAATGAAACTGAATAAAACAAAAACAAAATTCACCAACGCAGAACATATATACTCTGTGCCTGGCTTCTTAATCTACAAGACAGCCACCAAAATTGGTACAAAACCTTGCATTGTCAAAGGACCACTCAAGAGTCTAAACTGCAGGAAAATTTTTTGAAAAATAATCCCTAAGAGATGTAACAGGTTTGGCTTTGAGGAGCTATAGGTTCATTATTGAATCTACCACTAGGAGTGTGTGTAAAAAGTACTCTTAAAGAAAAGCAAGGCCAGGCATGGTGGCTCATGCCTGTAATCCCAGCACTTTGGGAGGCCAAGGCAGGAGGATCACCTGAGGTCAGGAGTTCGAGACCAGACTGGCCAACATAGAGAAATCCCATCTCTACTAAAAACACAAAAATCAGCCAGGCGTGGTGGCAGGTACTTATATCCCAGCCACTTGGGAGGCTGAGGCAGAAGAATCGCTTAAACACGGAAGGTGGAGGTTGCAGTGAGCCTAGATCACGCCACTGCACTCCAGCCTGGGCAACTGAGCGAGACTCCATCTCAAAAAGAAAAGAAAGACACGATGTGTCAAAGAAAACTTTTTCTTAATTGATGACATGTTCTATCATTTACTGTATCCATCCATCCATCCATCCATCCATCCATCCATCCATCCATCCACCCACCCACCCACTGACCTGCTGAACTGCTGGAAAGTAGCCTGCGCTGTCCTATCTATTCATGGTGACGGTGATGTGATTGCACACATCGGTATAAGCTCATCTAACTGCACAGCTTAAGGGTGAATTCTACTGCATATCTATTGCCCCTCAATA